GCCTTCTCCAACTCCTTGGTGCTGAATATTTTGGTCCTTTCAATATTACCCTCAGTTGAAGAAAGTTGTTGCTGCAATAATAAACCTCCATTCTCTTTGAAGAACTGCATCTGGAGGTTCTTTTTCCTTCTCTTCTTTAAAATTTTGTGCAACCAGTATGTACCAATAAGTAAGCACACTACTCCAAACCCTAGGCTAATGCCTGCAGGGATTAAGAAAGGAGAAACGGATGACTTTAGCGGGAGGTACACATGTATATCAAAAGTTGATTGTATAAAAGTCCAGTTTCGTGGTTAGTTAGAAAATTTGAAATGAAATGAAATAAAATAAATAAAAGTCCACGGGATTCTGCATGGTCTTTAAGAAAGATCTCTAGGTGAATAAGTGACAAAGATGATAAGAGATGGCGTTAGTAATTAGTATTGAAGTTGGGGATGGTAGACAAACCTCCCTTTGTTGTGAGTGTTGGCTACCAGGAGACTGACTTTGTGATAGGCTAGAAAATATGGCTGAGATCACTAACTGCTGGGCATGAAACAAAATTTCCCAGTGGGGCCAATTTGGATGGTAGATGCCAACTAGTTTTGAAAAGAGATATTCTGGTATAGGGGCTGAGATCGAAAGGCTTGACTTTGTCTGAGGGAGCGAATAAATTTTTATTGTAGTCAGGGGCTTCTCAATCAATAAAGCTACCAGTTGTCAATTGTTGAGGTTACAGACTTCCAGGTTCATATAGTTGGTTTAGATTGGCGTGTGGAATTCTGGTTGGATTCCTGGACACCAGTTTATTCTCTAGATGCTACTGAAAGGTCTGTTGAAGACAAAGGATACAAAGGATAGGTACTGAACTGGAGAAGTATGCGTTTAAGTTAAATTTTTTGTTGTGTTATTCTGCCGAGGAACCATACAAGTATCTCTTTTTTGAATGCCCTTTTGCTTCTCGTAGGGGGAACCGTGTTATTGAGACTGGGAACTAGTAGAAAGGCCGAGATGTTGGACCGAGGGGTGGGAATCATACAAGCATCATACAGGCACCTTTTTGTGCAGTTCCCAGTTAAAAAAACAAAAAAAAATACCATTTTCAACTTTTAACAGCCGAATTTATTATTTTTACCAAAAGAAAAAACCCGAATATACTATAAAATTGATATATTATGCTAAAAATAAATAAATATTGAAAAAGTATGGGGCTTACCTAAAATGATCGGCAAGGCGTTTTTGCCTTGTTTGGGTTCGCAAGCGTAGCTCCCTATCTTGTTTACACATATTGAGCCCGCAGAACACGTGGAATTGTGCTGAGCGTCTTTGCATTCATCGATATCTAAGACAAAAAAACAAAAATAAAATCAGCAGGACAGTTGGGACAAAATAGAGCAAAAAAAATAGCATAGGCATAGAAAAATCTCCAA